GTGTCCACCACACCACACAGCTCGGGGTCGTCAGCAAACTGGCTGAGGGTGCACTGATCCCACTGCCCGTGTCACCCACAAAGGTATTAAACAGCACCAGTCCCAATACCGACCCCTGAGGAACGCCACTCCTCACTGGTCTGCACTTGTTGACCGTGGCTCTTTGAGTGCGACCTTCCAGCCTGTTGCTGACCCAGCGAGTGGTCCATCCATCCAATCCACGTCTCTCCAGTTTAGAGACAAGGATGTCGTGTGGGACAGCGTCAAATGCTTTGCACAAGTCCAGGTAGAAGAAGAACAGCAAGTTGTCACCCCACGGCACTGGGGAGCTGGTGGCCCGTGGGACCACACGTACCACGAACTCACTTTCTAGAGGTCAAAGCCTTCACCAGGCTATCAAGCCCAGTCACCCTCATTCCTTTAAACTTATTTACCCAACCCTAGGGAGGCGTGCCAAGAAGAAAGAGCAGCGGGAAAACGAGATGCACGAGGAGCAGCCTGTTACTGGAATAAAATGCAACGGCGCTTCAGCTTCTCTCACCTCTCAGGTTCATCTGGTGTGCAGGAGTCCCGTTGGATTCCTCTTTGCTTTTATAGCAGGAGATAGAGGTATCTTTGAAGGTGCACCAATACGGCTTGTAGCCTTTCAACGTCAGCTTCTTGGGCCTGCCAGACAGGTTGAGGGACGTTACATTTGGTTTAAGCTCCTAAACCAAGCCGCTGCACCCAGAAACTCATTTCACCCTTGAAAACCTGGTGGCAGCAACCTGGGCTATGCCCACCCCTGGGACAGTCCCTGCCTGGGTGCTCAGCCACCTCTCACCACCCCTTCACTCCAAGGCTGGGTCAAGAAATCGAGTTACAATTGCAAAGTTGGGCTTTTCAATCCCGTGGCGGTCCCAGTAATTTGGGGCAAGGTGAGGGGAGCTGGAGAACTGTCTTACAAAAATGGACATGTCCACGAACCGCTGCAAAATATGGCTCTTTGCCTGCCACGTTAAACTGGAACCCCTCTGCTCAAGCTCTGAAAGGAAGCGGGACTTCTAAAAGACTTCTCAGTCGAGCACACGCATGAGTACACTTGTTTTCTTTTTAAATACTCCGTGTCAGAAAAGGTTCATTTCTTTTCTGTGGAAAACATGGATTTTGCTTCACTCCACAGAAGAACCGATGGCCCTGCAGCAAAGCAAAGGGACCTCCTGGCACGGTGGTACCCTGATCCTGCTCATCCCACCCCGAGCCCAGGACCTTCGTAGAGCAGCAAGCTTCTGATTTTTCTTAACCCCTCCTAATTTCTAAACCTTAGCGAAAGGCTCGACCTGCAGTTGCGCGCTGCAATGCGTTTCTCACATCCCCAGCCCAGAAAGGAGCTG